CACGCACGCACCTGTATGAGTGTGTGTGGAAGCCAGAGGCTGATGCAAGGATATCTTTCCTCTACTGTATCCTACCTTATTATTTTTGAGATACAGTCTCTTACTGAATCTGAAGCTTGCTGCTTTAGCTAGTGTGATAGTTTGAATGTCTCCCATAGACTGATATGCTTAGTCATCAGGGAGTGGTACTATTTGAAAGGATTACAAGGATTAGGAGGTGTGGTCTTGTTGGAGTAGGCATGGCCTTACTGGAGAAGTGTGCCACTGAGGGGGCTTTGAAATTTCAAAAGCCCAGGCCAGGCCCTGTCTGTCTCCATCTCTCTCTCTGTCTGCTTGTGAATTGGGATGTAACTCTCAGCTGCTTCTCCAGCACCATGCCTGCCCGACACCATGCTCTCAGTCTCTGAGACTGTAAGCAAGGCCCCAATTAAATGCTTTCTTTTATAAGAGTCGCCTTGGTCACGGTGTCTCTTCACAGCAATAGACCAGTGACTAAGACAGCTGACTGGGAGCTAGCAAGCCCTGGAGAGCCACCTGTCTCTACCTCCAAAGTACCGGACTGCGGTCACCACTCCTGCCTGGCTCCAGCTCAGGTCCTCATGCTTGCTTGCTCACTCGCTTGCACAGCTAGCAGTTTCCCCATGAGCCATCTCCCCAGCCCATGCCTGGTGTTTCTTATGTGGGTTCTGAGGGGCACACTTACCAACTGAGCCTCTTCCTAGCCCCGTGGTCTCAAGTCTTTGCTCATGTGAAATATGAAAAGTCGGGATTCTGGGTCTCATTTTCCTCACCTGGAACCTCCAAAGGCCCTTTCAGCATGCACTAAGATCATTCCCTCACTTTTACCTAGTCTAAGGTCCCTCCCTGCTTTATGTCCTTTTCCCAATATAACTGCAGCTGTTGCCTATAAAAATCAATTTACTTCTAGAATGGATACAACTAAATTGGGGGGGGGGGATCACTTTTATAATGCAGTAAAAACATAAATAACAGTATTATACTGTATCCCTGTCTATGTCATCTATCTCTATATAACTCCCACTTCTGAACGCTAAGACCACAGAGGCTATTAAAGAAAGGAAGGTGCATGTCTTCACCAGACTTAGATTCTCCTCAAAACAGGGGATGTTCCGTCTTAAGTCACTGGAGCAGAATTCATACAATAACTGCCAATAGAATCACTCCTGTCTTTCTTGTGAAGGACGTCAGCGTCTGAGCGAGGACATTAACTTGCACTTACAGCAGGGCGATGAGACCCTAGAGGTCAGACTAGTCCTTTGTTAAGTGTTCAAGGTCCGGAACGACCTTCTGTAAATACCTCAAGCCACACCCAGTCTCCCTTGTCTGTGACAGCGTCTGTCGGGAGTCAGATCACCACCAGTGTGTGCAGTGACTGAGGGAGACAACACTTTCTCCCAAGCATCCACCATGCTGGTAGGAGAGGCTGCCCTGGGATGGAGTAGAAACGGGCTGTTCAGGAGACGGCAGGGAAGAGCTGGGGCTCCACCAAGCCGGACAAGGAGTGGAGGGAGAGTGAGGCTGAGAATCAGACAGGAAGCCAGACTTCGGGGCCTTTGTTATCAGGCTGGAGAGGATGGGCTGTCGGGGGCACAATGGGAAGACCCTGAATGTTTTAAAGCTGAGGGAGCCAGGCACAGTGGCACACACCTTAAATACCAGCGTGGGGGGAGGGGCACACAGGCAGGCAGGCAGGCAGACCTCTGAGTTTAAGGCCACCCTGATCTACAAAATGAGTTCAGGCCAGCCAGGGCTTCAAATGAGACCCTGGCGAAGAAGAAGAAGAAGGGAGAGGGGAAGAGTGGAATGCCATTCAGGATCTGGAAGAGGAAGGCCATGCGTGCGTGGTACAGAGTAATAACAAAGACATGAGATGAAGCAAGAGCGACCAGGGCTGCCACGTGTACCTCTTGCCACCTCTCCTACTCACCAGCCTGGTCTTTCTGCCTCTATTATACCTTCCTTGAACACTGCGGGCATGTCTGTAAAATCTACAGTCTACAACTGCCAGAAATATGTCTGCGTGTGGGGCCCAGGAGCGGAACTCATGTCATCAGGCTTGGTGGCAGGTGCGTCACCTGCTGAGCCATCTCATTGATCCTGGGCCCCACATGGTGGAAGGAGAAAACTGATTCCCACAAGTTGTCCTCTGACTTCCAAACACACCACGGCACATGTGCATACACGTGTACGTACGTACACACACACACACACACACACACACACACACACACACACACGACCCTAAGTTAGTCATTTTTTAATTTTCATGATGGGTGCTCTACATCACCAAGCAAACAAAGAAACTGTATGGGAGAAGACAAGCTGTTTAAAATTCGATGGATCTAGGGTCAAACTCCAGCGCTACTAAACTACTATGAGGCAACTTTGTCAAATCAGTTTTCTTACTATGGAAATAGGAACTGAACTGACTCGGGCGTTAACAGTATTTGGTGTGACGCAAATGGTGTGCATTCAACAGAAATTGATCTCAAGGCCTACTCCGAAGTGCTGGGATAATCGGCTTGCACAACCATAACAGCTCTCCTGAATTCTGTCTGTCTGTTTTTTGAGGCAGGTTCTCGCTATACAGTTTGGCTGTCCTAGAAATTACTAAGTAGACCAGGATGGCCTCAGATTCAGAGATTCTCCTGCCTCTGCCTCCTGAGTGCTGGGATTAAAGGGTTGCTCCAACACATCTGGATTCTACTGCCTTTTTTAACTTGCCCAGTACTTCCCAGGACCAGACAAATACTGACCTCTTTCATTTCTGGGATTCTAAATAGATCCATACCCCAGCTGCCTTTTTAATCTGTAAATAAATGCATAATAAGGGAATTATATTTTATACATCTTTCCCTCATATTACTCCCTCCACTCTAGCATGAAGTCTAAAGGTAAGATTCTCTAAAGTTTCACTGAGAGATGAAAACAATGTTCGGTGCCAGACTCTAAAAACATTTGTTGCTGACTAACTTCCGGTAGAAGAATGTGAATCACCATGTTCTGTTGGTCACAGAAACCATGAAAATAGAAGGGTCAGTGGGTGTCAGGGGTTCAAGGGCAGAGAGGGGAGGGTGGAGCCCAGAAGACTTTTAGGGCTGAGAACCATAAGATATTACAGTGATAGACATTGCCTAAATCCACAGAATGTACCCCTAAAGAGTGAACCCTGATTAATTAATTTTCTTTTGGTTTTTGTTTTTTCAAAACAGGGTTTCACTATGGAGCTTTGGCTGTCCTGGAACCCACTCTGTAGACCAGGCTGGCTTGGAACTCTGAGATCCACCTGCCTCTGCCTCCCAAGTGGTGCTAAGATTAAGTGTGTGCTGCTATGTCCAGCCAAACAACGGACTTTAATCAACAGACTATTATTGGCTCATCAATTGGATTAATGAACATTAATAACAGGAGAAAACTGGAGGAAAAGGTAGTTAATGGTATTTGTATTTTTCTTAAAATGTTCCATGAACCTGGAACTGCTCAAGAAAACAGAAACAAAGCACAAGGAAGCCCTAGATTGGAGAGTCAATGCTTCTGCGCTGACCCCCCCACCCCAATTCCGGTTCATTCAAACTCTGTAGCTCCTGATCTCTGGCTATCTATCCAGCTTTTGGTTATCCTGGGGGGGGGGGAGGTCAACAAACTGTTTATCTTCTACTCAGTTCATTTTGTATCTAGCACCTGCCGCACTGAAGATATTTAGCACACTAGAAATCAACAGCCAGGCAGGGAAGCTCAGGCCTGCATGATAGAGGGGGCTCACCAAGTTCAGGCCAGCCTGAGTTATACAGTGAGACTACATCTCAAAACGAACAAAGCCCCAGAGAAATCAAGGTTAGTTCTGTTCAAAAGTTCACTTGTTTGTTTAGACCCTTCCTGTGCCGCGCCCTCCTGAGCGCAGACTACAGGACTCAACCACCACAGCTGGCTTTCTGAACCACCACAGCTGGCTTTCTGAACAGGCTTGAAGGAACCAGAACAGGTGTCCATAGGTCCCTTCCACTCAGAGAATCACTGACCTTCAGCACTAGACTTTGGAGATGTTCTAGTCCAGCTGTCTTTTTACTGAAAAGAACGGCATGGAGGACACTCTTATATAAAGCCCAAGTTGAACGAATCAACACCCAGCACACACCTTCTAAGATGAAGACTCACCGCTTAGGTTTGAAGACAACTTTCTGTCCTCCTTCAAGGATCAGTAAAGCTTTTAGCTGCGTCCCTTTATAGCCCACATCAGCTTTAATGACCTTCTTGGTGGCCATGGCATGCAGGACTGCTCCCAGCTCTGGTGTCTCTTCAGGGTACACTTCCCGGGGCACCACCCACTGGGCCGCAATCTCCCAAGGAGACTGCAGGGTGTGGTCCAACTTGGGCAGCAGCTCCACCCGCAAGCCAGTCATCATTCGGTGAAAGGCCCTCTGGTCCTCTCGGTTGGCCGCTGATGTATCCAGGTTGTCGATCAGGAAAACTTTGGTGAAGATGAAGATGACGAGGAGTATTGCTAACAGCACGACGCGCTGCTTTAGCTTCATGGTGGCCTCTCCTCCTCCTCCTCCTGGACCCACTTTCTCTCAGCTCAGCGGGGCGGACAGGTGCTGAGGATCAGCAAGGCGATTCCATGATTACCGAGGTCTTCACTGCAGTGCCTCCACAATTCCTGCAGGCCAAAGCAGAGAGCACGATTGGATCAGGAAGTCTGTCCTTCCACCTCCACGATTTGCAAGGCTCTCACGCGTTACTTACCCTGTTAGTGACTGATTGCTAGTCCTCCGCTTGAGAAGGCCCATTAATGAAAACAGTGTGGGAAAGACCTAGGAAGGATACTGGGTACATGGAAAATTCCAAGAAACACATTCCCATTTTAATTAGGAAGTGCGATCATATAGGAGCCATTTGGCTGCTATATATATTTCCAAAAATTATCAAAACGAGGGGGAAAACAAAACACTGAGCTATGCATAGTTCTTAACTCCCAAGTTTCACTGTTCCAAATCCGTAAGTGAATCCTTGTCATATCTGATAATTTTCTCAGCTCCTTTCCACATGTAAGTTTTCTGTGACTCTGAACAACAGGAACTCCCAAGAATACCAACAAGAGTCCATGACAGAGGCATAACTCCTTTTCAAATACAAATACACATTTTGTTCATGTGATTAAGCACAAGACTCAGACACGTACTCTCCTTGATCAAAGCTCCACTAATTATTTCTCCTGGTAAAATATGGATAATCAAATCTGGATGAATTAAGTGAAGGAAAACCATTCCCCTTTTACCATCTGGTGTTAACCGAATATGATTAGACAGCTCGTGAAATATGAACCATAGCAACATTGCTATGCCTTGAATGGTGTGGGCAAGACAAGAGGGTGTTGAAACATACAATTCAATTGTATTTGTATGCTGAGAGACTGCTTCCCATTGCACTGGGCTTTGTTTGTTTGTTTGTTGAGATCAGGTCTCATGTAGTTCAAGGCTGAACTCATGGTCTTCCTGCTAATAGCCCCCAAGTGCTGTGATTATAGATATGGGCTACAATGCACAGCTCCACAAGGCCATTTCAAACCGTACACAAGCTCACTTTGCCGTCTGCCGACAGCCTGTACAACACAGCACTGGGACAACGTGAATGACAAGAAGATAACAGGGTGTCGCTGCGTTCTGCAATTCATTCAACAACTCAAACCACTGATCTAAGAAATAAGACCAATACAAAAAAACAGAGCCAACAATTGAGCTGCGACACTCCCATCTAAATTTGAGGCTGCTTCTTTCACAACTGGAAACAACCCAAGAGCAACATTGTGAGCAATGCCTTGCCTTGAGCCAGCTGATGAGACATTCATTCTCAACCAATCCTTCCTGGTCTTTCCATGAAGGAAGCAGAAAGTGAAAGTCACACCCTAATCATCCCCAGGCACCTGTTCTGTTCCACCACTTCTCATCACAGTTAAGCTGGAACAAAAGCTGTGTGAGCACGACTGAAAATGTAATTGTTTTTATTTAGTTCTTTTTTAAGTTAGCCCACAAAGTAATAGGTTTCATTATGCTACAATGTCATTGTGATGGTATCAGATTTGGCATGGAACTCAGTAAAAGCAGTTCCTGGTAATGATGCACAATAGCAGTATTAGGAGAGTGGATTTCAATATTAGCTCTAATGATACTGATGTTTCACTCATTTGTTCACAATACACATTGTGGGGTGCAGTGATAGAGGAAACAGATGCAGCAGCATCTTCAGCACCTCCACCCCCAGAGTCACAGACGAGCACTGGACAGTTCTGGCTAAAGGAGACGGCTGAACAGGCTTTTCCTGTCTATAGAATGCACTTTGGGTCTAAAGTTTGGCTAACGAGACTTTGATAATACATATCTAATGGCTGTGCATATTTTATGGAGAATAATCTTCCCTCATAATATAAAAATAGCACTTCCAAATTTGTTTTGTTTTGGCTGGCCTTGATCCTGCAGCAATCTTTCTGTTCCCCTTCCCCACTTGCAGGGAGTGTAGACAAGTACCACCTCATCAGGCTCGTCTCATTTGCTGTGATGGGGATGATACCCAGGGCCTTGGGAATGCTGACCAAGTGCTCTAACACTGAGCTCCACACTCCAGTCATCTCCGTCTAATCACCAACACAACAGCAAGTTTTAAAAGTCCCCAAATTAAGACAAAGAGGTTCAAATCTGAAAGCCAGTTTGTAAACTTTCTGTAGGTTTTGAAATATCATTACCTTTTGAAAAGGCCTCAGATAATCTTCATTTCAGGGCTGCAAACAATTCATCTACTCAGGCCGAACAGAAACTTATATTGGGGAAACTGAAGAATTCACTGGTTACTAATATTATCACTACTCTAGAGTGAGAGCAGATGTGGAAAAAGTGCGTTTTCATGTTTGTGACTGATGGGTTGCCACCTCCAGGTAAAATAAGTTAAGACTGCATGCAGTATGTCACTATTCTTTCGTCTTTGTTTGAAAGGCGGAGAGAAACTGAGAGAGAATGGGTCTCACCGCGTAGTCCAGGCTGGCCTTGAACCCACAGCCATCTCAGTGTGGTGAGGGGTGGGGTTACGGGCTGTGCCCACATACCTGCCAATGACTTGGCATTGTTCTCTGCCACTGTCTTCCACTTCCACAAGCCCAGCCACCAGTTCTCTGCAGTGCTCAGCACCTCCTACTGGACCCTGGAAAGAACAGATTTCTGGACCTGCAGGCTTCAATAGAGCCTAATTAGTCCCTCGACCATCCTCAATCTAATTCCTTAACAGGGCCTTAAAGCCTTACTCTGAATGTACTGAGTGAGGCAGCCCTCTGACCATGTGTCTGGGCTTCCACCGATCAGCTAACTCAGCGGTGCTGGTTCTCTTCATCCTCAATGCCCTTAAAACACCTCCTTTCTCCTTACCTCTTATTTAAAACCTAACCCTTCTCTCAAGGCCCACCTCTAAGGGCATTCTAGTCCCTCCCCACCTCCCTCCTCCTGACCAGTGCATAACTACATTCTGCCTTAAACTGCCTTAGACATAGTTCCTAATTCCCTGCTCAGAAATACAGCTCCTTAGGAGGATCCATCCCCCTTGCTCCTTTATACTTGAGAAAGGGCCCCCAGGACCCAGTGTCCAGGCTTTTTAAATGATTATTATTAGTCTTTTTGATTTGAGGCAAGCAGTATACTATACAATCTGCAAGCTGGATTTTTAAGACCATCCACTTCAGATATAAGAAAATAAAAGCAGGTCACTGTGTGTACTCCACACTCTTCAGGAAAACCTCCCTAGCATTTCCACAGTAGCACTGTATACCTGCTCTATGTCATGTCCTCACCTCCTGCTGTAAAACGCTCACATAGTGAGCGCGACACTGTCCAGTGTTTACGGCCATCTGTCTTCGTGTTTGTTATATGGAACAGAGCCTATTTCACAGAACAAGTAGGCTCAAGGTAATAACATAACTCAGAAAGTGTTAACTATAAAAGAGGCAGTGCAAGTGGAACATTTGCCAAGTCTCCACACTAAACACTGGCATGAACCCACAGTGCAGAGTTCTGGGAAGCGGATCTTTCTAAGCAGTTTTCCTAGGAAGCCTAGTTCACTCCCGGCAGCCCACGTGGGGCTTGCCACACAGGCTCATCTACTCCATTCTTCACACACATATACCACCACCCTGTAGGTGACACATGTTTGAAAGGACAAACCTTTGACCGTAAAGTGCTTCTACAAGCGTTTCACAGGTCCAGAGGGAAGGAAATGTGATATCTTAGTATAAAGTCCTCTGTTCAAAAGTCCAGTGATACAGCGAGGAACGTATACAGAAAAACATAGTGATGCAGAGGCCTATAAACTGTGCAATTAAAATTCACATACGTGGTAGCTAATGAACATGAGATCATCTAGCCCAATACTCCCTGGGGATCCTCTAAGTCACAGCTTGAGAGAAGCTCCAAGCCTCAATGACAGTTAAGCCCCTTTGAATGGGCCTCTGATTTGACAACTTCACACTAATCCCAACTTTTATCCACAGCGATGAAAAGTGAAAGTTTCAGTAAAAGTGAACAGAAGTTTCCTTTTCTTTTCTTCTTCTTCTCCTTCTCCTCCTCCTCCTTCTCCTTCTTCTTTTCTAGAATGTCCACAGTCAAAATAGGCTTTTACCACATGAATGAAAGCCTTGTGACTGTAAAGTACCATAAAACAAACATTCTGTGCCGAGGACTCGGGGATTTGTGACACAGAGGGACTTTATTAAATAGCTAGCATGTGATCACATTTATGCATGCTCTCTCCTTGTCCCCCATCCTGACTACAAACCATAAGGTAGGTCCCTTTTCTCAAACAATCTCTTTGGAAAGTGTTGGTTTTAGCAAAACTGAAGATTTGCTAAGTGTAAGAAAAAATAAGATCTCAATGCAAAGTTTTTACATTTGTATATTTATTTTGAATGTATGGGCAAAAACACCCAAGACATGTATGGAAGTCAAAGGACCTCCTTGTGGGCTCTGAGGACTGAACTCACAGGTCATCAGGCTTGGTGGCAAGTGCCTTTACCTGTAAAGGCTATCTATTCAGACAGCCCAGATTTGAATTGAATTAAGATTTTCTTGTTACTATTTCTACAGATAAACATTGACAGTTCCTCCCACCAAAGGGCGGGGTCTATTTTTCCTCCTCCTGATTTGAGCTGGCTTTGCAGCTTGCTTTGATCAAAAGGCTAGACAAGAGGCTATGTCCCACTTTTGAGCCTCAGCATTAAGACACCTGGCAGTTTCCACATTCACTTTTTGGATCTAGCTGCTATGTAAAGACAGTTTGGTTTGACTGCTACATGAGTGACCTATATAGATAAAGGCTTCATGTGCACCCAGCTGGTCTGGCCACCCCATCTGAAACACCAGAAAGACAAGTAATCAAAGGTATTCCAGTCTCAGGTGAATTGAGATGAACAAAGCCATACAAGAGACCCCAGACCTTACCAGGTGGGCAGTAACCAACCGAGAACACATGACCTACACAATTATAAGAAAAAACACATCACTGTCTTAAGCAACTATATTTGAAGCAGTTGTAGAACATTCTCTATTATGTCTTCTATCAACTCTTGGTGATGTTAAATATTCTGGGGGTGGAGGTAGGGGACTGGAAAACAAGGCATATGGCTAAAAATAATTTGAGGGTGGAGGTGGTGACACGAAATCATTAAGCATAAATAAAGAGCAGACTGATAGATGGTTAGATCATGTTATTCTTATAAATGATTACCAATGACTCCTATGGAGCAACAGTTATTGTAAAAGTTATGTTTTCTTTTCTGCCATGTGGTGTAGATGTTTAAGAAGAAAAAGTCTCCTAGAAGTGACACAAGAAGTCCATTTTCCACTTGGCTGTGTTAGTCAACTGAACAAATTAGCTTAAAAGAGGAAGCATTTATTTGGGCTTATGGGGTTAGAGGTTTTGGTGTATCAGTAGCCAGCTCCACAGCTTTTGTGCCCAAGATGAGGCAGAACATTACAGTAAGCACATGGCAGAGCAAAGATGCTCACCCCATGGTGGCCAGGAAGCAGAGACAAAGAGAAAAGGTCTAGCAATAAGATACACTCTTCAAAGGCACCCCCACTGATCTACTTCCAGCTAGGCCACTAACAGTCACTCAACTATGAATTCATCAGTGGACTTTGATGAAATTAGCACTCTTATAATCCAGCCAATTCCCAAGAGCCTCACCTCTGAACAATGCACTGGGGCCAAGCTTCAACACACAATTTTGGGAGAGTCGTTTTATATCCAACCCTATTATGAATCACTTACTAGAATCTACTTATATATTTTACAACCTTACTTATACTTATGCAGTGCAATTGAGGTTAATATCACATACTCACACTACACATGCTCAGCTTATAACGCCTATCCTTTGTATTTCAGCCAAAGCATAAACAATAGCAAAACTCCAAACTCTTTAGTATAGAGAACACAAGATACTTTCACCCTGATGTACTGACCCTTTGATTTTTAACTGGCGTTGACATTATAGCACTAAGTCACATTATTATTAGCTGTTAAGAGTTTACATCCTTTGCCCCTTAGCCACAAATACAATTCCAACATGATCAATGCAACTAAAACAGATGGGAAGCATAACCTAAATTCTGTTTCACACAAAAATCAGAAATACAGCATGCCTTTCACAAGCCTTTCATTCAGAAAACTCCCTCTGTGTTTAAAGAGGATGACTTTTGTCTTTAAAACTGTTTAAGGCTTAAAGCTCTTAAAACTTAAGTGTTGAGAGCAGCTTAAAGGACAGGTATCAAAAAACAATCTAATCCCCACACAGTCCAAATTGGACTGTTAGATTTTCCTTACTATTTTCATTTCCATTTAAACATCCAGACAATATCTGGAAAATAAGGCTCTTCCAAGTGAAGTTTTAACAGCTCCTTGTGAAGGACATCAACTAGAAATGGCCACCAGGCTGTAAGGAAGCATTAAGGAACCTGCCCCCGGTGTGAGGCTAAAATGGAAGGCACAACAAATAACTATTCTCTCTTAAAAAGGTAAGTAAAGAAACTTGCAACCTGTTTCATTTAAACCTTTCTTCCTTAAAAAAAGAAAGAAAGGAAGAAAGGAAGGAAGGAAGGAAGGAAGGAAGGAAGGAAGGAAGGAAGGAAGGAAGGAAGGAAGAACAATTATAACATTAGCAAGAGCTGGTGTACAAAAGAGACCCAGGCAGTATCCGGTGAGCAGACACTCATTGGAAAGTGCTTTAAGGTACACGGTGTAAGGAGGCTCCTGTGTTCCAGGGGGTTCAGTCTCAATTATCAGTACATGACCACCACTTAAGGCTGCGTTAGGCTATTCTAGACTACTGTTACTGCTAACCTGTTTCCTGAAGTTGGCTAGGATTGAGAGTAAAGACAACCTGGAGATGTTAGGAGAAAGAATGGACAAAGTCCAAGAAGACATTGCCCAAGAGTGATAAATGAATGATATAGAAGACAAGGCTGAAATCAGATCTTCAAGTATTACTGACAATGGTTTTCTTTTCTTTCCTTTTTTTTTTTTTTTTTTTTTGAGACAGGGTTTCTCTGTGTAGCTCTGGATGTCCTGGAACTCACTCTGTAGGCCAGGCTGCCCTTGAACTCACAGAGATCTGCCTGCCTTTGCCTCCCAGAGTGCTGAGATTAAAGGAGTACACCCCCATCCCCTAGTGACAATGGTTTTCTGAATCAAGACAAACCATTAGGACTTCCATGCTATTTTCTTTTTATGCACGAGTATGTGTGGTATTCATATGTATATGTGTGTGTTTACACGTGTGAAGGCCTGAGGTCTACGTTGGGTGTCATCCTCAATCCTTCTCCACTTTATTTACTGAGGTAGAGTCCCTCACCTACTGAGCTAGTCTAATTAGTCAGCTTGTCCAAGGGATCCTGTCTCAGCCTCTGGAGCGCTGGGGTTAAAAGCTGCCATGCACTCTCAGTTTTTATTCAGACCCTCAGCTGAGGATCTCATCCCAATGAGATGTTTGCATGGCAAGAACCTTATCCACTGAGTCTTCTCTCCAGTCCTATTTCGTCTCCAGGAAGAACACACAACATAAAATGTATATATACAGGACGCAAGCCAGGGGAAGGAACACGAGAAGAATTAAGAAAGTCTTGGGCAACCACCAGTGGTACAAAGTTCAGCCACTAATGCTCAGAGTCTACAGAAGCTAACAAGCCTATTAGTTAACTATTTGAAATGTGATCTCAGGAAGCAGAGTGACCTGGGTTCTGCTCCACAGAAGGCCAGAAGCTGTACTCTTTCCTACCCGTGAGAAAAGGCAGGCAGACTGTTAACGGCATATCCAGTGAGAAAAAAAGAAGGGTAAAGAGCATAAACAGCCTACATTTCACCATCACCTCAAATCCTTGTTCAATTACTGTCCATAAGGGATGCTAGTAATCCTTCTTATGCATTCATAATTTCATACCCCTTGGCCTCCTTTTATAACAGTCTCCTCTAAAGCGGCCAGTACTTTCTCACAAAATACTGACCTCAAACATACCTAAGCACACTGTCTCATTCTGCACATCTGACACTCAGTCTGCATCCCCAAGATTCTTTAGAGACAGACATTTCTTCTGTTTTTGGCAAGGAAAAAACCTGCATCAGAAGACCTTTTCATTATTTAGAGAAGAGTTTATTAATTTCTGTAATCAAACCCACGTAGCAGAGGATCTCTGCATTATATTCTCCTCTAGGCAGCTCTTGCTGTTATCCTGACATTATAAGTTAGTCAGAAAGGAATTTCGGTAGCAAAGTAAGGACTTATGTTCTGCACCCCAGGCTCACATTATTGAACTCATTAGTCACAAAGAAGGAAAAGAGGGAAGATGTGCAGGTGCTGGAGAAGTCCTTAGGGGAGACAGAACTTTCCTTTCCCATCTCCAATATAAGGGGCATGCGGATGGTCAGCACTGATGCTGCTGGTATGGTTATTTCCAAGAATTCTTCTATTAAGGTTAAAAACACTGGCTCTCCATCCAACCGCTCAGCCAATACAGGTGGCAGGAAAAAGTGTGTGCAGCTCCCCATGACCCGACTTGGACAGGCTGCAGGTGGCTGGAACACCATATAATCACTGGACAGAATCTCAAGACAACACCAATAAACAGTACCCTTTGCAGACACTCGCCTTAACAGCACATTTCCAACAGAAATCTAAAACCATAGCGTTGGCTTTTTTTAAAAATTATTCCTTTTGATTGGAATGGGGGGGGCTGAAAAAAAATCTAGTATTTGCACCAGAATATCTATGTTTTCCTCACACTAATTTTCATTCATTAATTCAACAAACAACTCATGTACATCTACTATGCACCCTAGGAACTACAACTGCAGGATCTCAGGGTAACAGTGCTCCCTACCCCAATCCACAAAATCATCTCCTATGCAATCACAGCTCAGCCAGACATCGTATCTCCTTCTAACTGTAACTGCGCACTCTAACAGCAGACTCTAGAGTGAGATCTTAGAGTTAAAATCTACATAGTTATCAACTTGAAGGCGGAACTTCCTGGCATTGCACTTACAGCACTGAAAGAGAAGTCATAGGGAGCTAATTCATGTCCCAAAAGTAGACAGAAAACTTCATTGAGGAATTGAAAATTCAGAAAAGATTTTTAAAAACATCAGAAGCCAATAAGGCTGTATGAAAAAGCTGAAATGGAAATCAAGAGAAGTGACTAAAAGCAAATAATCATTAACTTAGCATAAAATAATTACGACACAAAAGATTATGAAAAATAAGCCAGTGACTTGCTTTTTCCAAAGTATACGTTTGTTGAAAATATATACATACAAAAAAGGTATGTGGTTAAACAAAGTGTTCCTATTTTCTCACTAGCTCTAAGGAAATAAATCAACCCCATTTTCACAAGGAAAGCTATTAATCCCAGGTTTTTTCTTTTTCTTTCTTTTTTTTTTTGGTTTGTTTTTGAGACAGGGTTGTCTGTGTCTCCCTGGCTGTCATGGAACTAGCTCTGTAGTAGACCAGGCTGGCCTCAAACCTCTGCCTCCTAAGTGCTGGGATTAAAGGTGTGCACCACCACCTCCCAGCCAGATTTTTAAAAATTTAATTTTATTGTTTTGAAACAGCATTTTCTCTGTGTAGCAGTCCTGACTGTCCTGGAACTCGCTCTGTAGACCAGGTTGGCCTCGAACTCACAGAGATCCTCCTGCCTCTGCCTCCAGAGGGCTGGGATTAAAGGGACGCACCAAGCCCTACATTGCTCTCCTTTGATACGGATTTTCAAACGTGGAATGGGCATCTTGTTGATGGCTAACTGTTGGTTCTGGGACACAAAATCCACCATCTTCACAAACTTTAAGAAAGTTATTAACTTAATAATTTTAAATTTACCTTAAATTGGTTCAGAGCCCACACAAATAATTTAGCATCTTTAATACCTGAACCTGTTTCTCAGGATGATAAATGACATGCAGAAGTGCTCTCAGGTCTTGCATAAATTCAGGGAAGGAGGAGCACAATGAAATCACTAGCCCAGTGGAATTCATGCATGGATTTTCAACCCAAGTAATATAGGCATGGTTAATAAAGGACAATCTTGACTCTACCCGATTACTGATTGTATTACAAAGTGTAGACCTCAACAGTGAAAAGATCGCATTCTTTTTTTCCTTCCGACGTGAGCCGTCAAACCTCCAGAGGGAAAGTGGCTGAGTAGATGACCCTGACACCTGGCCCTAGACCCAAGTGACAACGTTCAACATATCTTTTCCGCAATTGTAACTCCTTACCCATTCTACTGGAGATAGTCTTTTAACGAAGTAATTGTAAGGACCATCCACGCCTTGTTCCCCCTTTTCTCCTTTTTATCAGGAGCCTGACAGCTAACTGACTCCTGATTAAAAAGAATGTCTCATCCACAATCAAGGACACGGCTTGACAACGTTCACATTCGGCGTGAAGGCAACGTCTGAGTTCGCTCTGAAACGCCGGGCCATCATCACACCCGGAAATGAAACCGCCAGCGCAGCCCACTCTGGACTACGGTCTCCTCTCAAGTTGTGCCCCACGGCGCACCGAGCGCCCGACCCCAGGACACGGCTGCTCCCTCCGACCCAGGGCCTGCAGGTCACTCGCGCTCCTCGGCCACCGTGCGGGCCCGGCAGGGACCCGGCGAGAGCGCCGCTCCTCCCTGGGCCACCGACACCAGCTTAGCGTGATCGGAGGGCGACGCCAGGGCCGGGCGCCGCTGGGGACAGT